ATTCGAATTTGATCAGAAACTTTTCGATTAAGTAATTCTAATTCTTTAATATGAAATAAAAATATTTTACTTTTCAAAATTAAACAAAGAAAAATAAACAAACCTTGTTGTAATTCATTTGTATATGTATTAAATGATTTAAACATATTTTCAACTAATTCACCTTTATTAGGTGATGAAGAAGATGAAGAATTTCCATGAATAGATTTATATAAATAACTGAATGATTGAGTAAGTAGAAGGTTGACCGTTGATGAGTAAACAGGGCGTGAGAATTGTAGACTGTGGATAATTATGGATTTATTTAAAGAAGAAAAAAAAATCTAATGATCGATACGTTAGAGATTAGAGAAATAACGGAAGATTTTTAAACAGCCTTGACAATACAAATTATTTCCTAATAAGAACATTTCTTCTATAGATGACACTAGTGAACAATTACTGTTAGTTTTAATTTAATGTTATATTATATTTAAAGAAGACAGGCAACTGTTATATATTGTTAATGCTTCTTTTCTATTTAATTCGTTGTGTATTTATTAGTATTAGATTCAAGTGTATAAATAGTTTCGAAAACTACTTTTATGTCGATATATTGTAATGATAATGAAAAAGTTAGTCGAAGTTGAATTTGATCACTACATTACTTGAGATGTCACTAATGGGAAACTATATTGTTATAATTTTCTATCGAGGAAATTGAATTGACCAATTGAATTTCTCAATGACGCGGGACAAAGACTTGTAATGTCAGTTGAATTGAATTGAATTCATGTCTTTTCTCATTCATTCTTTTAAATAATACAATGGGATCTAATCGAGAACAACAACTTGTTGATAAAATTCGACAATTATTACCTGATTCAAAAAAGAAGTATACATGGACTGATATTGAAAAAGTTAATATTTTTTTCTTATTCTATTAAAAAAAGTAATTTCTAAATCTATTTAATTTAGACAGATAAATTACAAGATTTAGCATTTGAATTGACAAGTACTTATTTTGGTGATTTTTTTGCTACTCAACAACAAGCATCTATTGATCGTCTTCAAGCAGCTGCTTGTTTTTTGTAATATTCTCTTTTTTGTCATAAAAACATTTTATAGAAATATGATTTATTTTTATATAGAAATTTTTTACATACAATTGCTGATTGTGAAAATGATGAAGCTGAAGTTGATGAAGGTCACTATGGTCTTTGGTTACTTACAGTATCGAGTATGTTAATATACATATATATACATGCAATATATGAGTAATTATTAATATAGATCAAGAAGAACGTCTTATGCATTTAAATCAATTAGCAGATTGTTTACTTTTATTTAAACGAACAATGGGTTCAATTGAAGCTCTTCAAAAAGAAGATGTAAAAATAGATTGTTTCTTTTTTTATATATAAATATATATATTATTTTTTCTAGGCAGCATTACGAATGGAAGCACAAAAGATGAGTAATGAAATTAATTATTATCAAGAAGAAATTGCATCAAATAAAGAACAAATTGACTTAGTATAATTTATTTGAAATTCAAAAAAAAATTAACTCATTTGAATTATTTATTTTTTAGTATAAAACTGAAATAAAAAAACAAACAGGTATTAAAGTAGATACAACAAAACAAATTGATAAACTTAATAATGATTTATCTCGAATACAAAACAATTATACTTCATTAGAAAAAATTGATGTATGAAAGAACAAAAGACTTTTATTTTTGGTTTAATTTTTCTCTTTAGAATGAACTTGATAGTACATTAGAAGGATTAAAAGTTCGAGAAAAATTATTAGAAAGTCAACTAATGGTTTCATCACTGAATGATGTACTTTGTGAAAATGGAAATTATCTTAAAGAAAATGCCAAAGTAATGATTTCTTAAGAAATTTATGTGTAAACAAAAATCATATGATTTCTTTTATGTAGTTACAAAGTGAAATTCATTTAATGAAACATGCACGTCAATTACAAGATGATAAACAACATAGTGTACTTGAACCAGCTATTACAAGTGTTAAAACAATGTGTGAACAACTTGATGGACTTACACCACGTGCTATTACTATTCAGTAAATAATATTTAAGATTTATAATACTAATTAAAAATGAATAACTTTTTCTTTTATTTTTCATTAGAAATCTTTCAAGTAATATTGATCGTCTTACACGAGATATTGAAAGTACAAAAGAAACAACAGATAAATTACGTGTACTCAATCCAATTGGTACAGAAGATGATTCATCATTTACATCAATGCTTACAAATGCTCAAGTGTTCGTTGAAAATTTATTTATTGCAAAAATAAATCGTCTTTTTTTGTCATTTAATTTAGTGAATTAGCTCAACAAAAAGAAAACTTTGATAAACGTAATGTTGAATTTGAACGAACAACTGTTGCTTATGAATTAATTAAAAGATCTGTTGATGATCCAAATTTATATAAAGATGTATATGCTATGGAAAAACGCGTAGAAACAGCACGACAACAAGTAAATTACTCATTGATTTTTGTTTTGTTAATAAACTCTTTTTCTTTTCTAGCATGAACAAACAAAAAATAAGATAATTCAAGTGATGGCTGATGCTCTTAATGTTCTTTAACGATTTAATTTTGTAATAGAAAATATATAATTACTTTATGTACATATATTAGTTTAAAATCAATAAAGATAAAGTTGTAATTAAAAAGTAAAAAAATGATTTTATTTCAATTGTGTAAACAATGTACTGTCAAGTTTTTTTAGAATGAATACTACTGGAAGTTTCTGTTAAGCGTTTATTAATAGAAAATATTTACAAACTTTTCATATTTTATTAGCTTAACAATTTACAACTATGATTACAGTCTAAATAGATTCTGGCTCGCGTTTGTACACTGCTTGATATATATATATATATAGCTAAAAACCTTAACTGATCGATATAAAGTAGTTCTTCTTGGTCAGCAGATCACACTCTATCAAGCTATGTGTGAAGAAAAACACAAGAAAATAACTTCAGTTGAAGTTTGCATTGCCTGCACCTTACATATTTTATTATTTGAGGACATTATTAATTCTTGAAGTACATTGAGATAATAAATCTTAAATATTTCGTTAGAAATATAAAAATCATTATAAAATAGAAGACAAGATAATAATTGAATTCAATATTTACGACGATTTACTACTATGGTTTAATGACATTTAATTACAAACTAGTATTCTGCAAGAGCAACAACTAATATTAATATGTCGACCATAAATTTTCTATAAATAAAGTTTTATCATCGAGAAAAAGCTTCCAACAAGTATATTTTTTTAGCAAAGTTATTTTTAGAAAGACGGTTTAAAAGATTTAAAACATTTTTAAACTCCTTTAGTTGGTTTTGTACCTAAATAATGACGACAACTAATCCGATCAAGTAACATCTTTTACAATAGAATTTTCGAAGTTAATCTTCATATATTTCATCGTGTATTTTTTTATAAAATAGTATTAGCAAAAATTTTGAGCAAAAATTGTTTTAATAATGATTTCTATAATATTACCTCTTTTTTTGCATGACAAATGTATGCTTTAACTAACGCTAACAAAAAAAAGAATAGACAATATAGACACTCCTCCACAATATGTTACATAGTTGTGTTCTTGAATAAATGCCGGTGTCAAATGTTCCTGTGCATATAATGAACCAAAATGATTAAAAGTCATGTATACCTTACAGATGTTTATAAATCTATAAACGTCGTCATATATAAAACATCTGACCTTCATAATAATCATAATTTTACTCTGCGGAAATTTTTATCAGTTAATTCTATAAGAGGTTTATCTAACATAAAGGAATGTAAAAAAATCATGAAATGCTCTCTCGACTAATCTATTAGCATTTATGTCTTACTAATATAGTCAATATTTACAAACTCACAAAGTGAACGTTTGATTATTTCAGTAATTATATAATCTCTTTTCCTTGACTGATATTTATGTTAGTCATTATTTATTTCCTAACATTACACATCATACATCTGTTCAACTAAAAAAATTATATATAAGCCGCATTAACAAGTAGTTATTTTATGTCCATCTAATCATTCACTTACAACCGTTTTTTTTATTAAGTCAACCAGTTTGACAATTTCTCGTTGTGGTCATTAATAACTTAAATTGCTTATTTAATCATGAAGACTTTAACTAATATTAACGTCATTTTTTTCATTGTTTATATATATATCATAACTGGTAAGTTAAATTTCTAAAATGTTCATTAAATTAATTCAAATTCTATCAATAGATAAAACTCATTCAGCTAGTATCAATGATCGAGATTCCAATGAATTAGTTGGAACAGAATCTGAAATGAACGACGAAAATCATTCAACAGAAAATATTGTACCACATCAAGGTCATCCATGGTTTGGCAAACGTCGTTTAGATTCAGCTGAAAAATATTTTGATTGGGCTGGTAAAACTAATCGTAAGTTATTCAAAAATAAAACTATTTAAATACGATACTTTTTTTTCTTTTTCAGGTCCAATGGAATATTTACGAGGCAAACGTTTTTGGATTTTTACAAAAAAAGTTGAAAATAATTTTAATCATGAAGCAATGCGTGATGCAAACTCCTCACCAAACAAAGGTATATGGCGATCAGGCATTGTTGGACGTCGACGTCGTTAAAACGATCATCAAAAGAGTGAAAAAAAAGACGAAACGCTTTTTTTCTTCTTCTTTTTATTGTTGTTCTAATCGTTTCGCTTGCGATTTTTTGTAATAATCGCTTTAATTCATCTATGTTAGTAAAATACGATATTTAATATTTCACCAAGTATTATAAAATAAACTAATGTATACGTTAAAAACAATAATTATCAAATAAAATATTGAAAATCATGTTAAGTCTATAATGATATTTCTCTACAAGCATGAACTAAAATCTATATTAGTAGCTTTGACAAAAGTTCAATCTTTGAAATATCATAGTGATAATTGCACTTTAATGTTATCTTACATTTATAGCACTTATCTCCTTCATGATAAATATTTAATTGATTTGAATAGAATTACATAATAATATATCTTTAGATAAACATGTGTCATGAAAGTTGACCGGATATTTCCTTTTCATTGACTAAATGATATATTTTATCAACATCTGTTTCTTCACAATTGGGTGCATTACTTTTCAAGTGGAACAATTTTTGAAGATATATGATTGAATATTGTTGTTTACAATAAAAATTTTTTTTTATTATCATCCATACGAAAAGAAAACATCGAATAAACGTTTTGAATGTTTATCTAAAGAGATCACCGTTACCCTTATTTTAAAACGAATAGTATCTGTTTACAAAAAATGAAATAAAGAAAAGGAAAAAGAAAAATATGGGTAAGAAGAATAGTTAGAAGATGATAAGTATTAATCTAGTTTGAAAAAAAAAGAAACATATACACTTATAAATATGCAACGAAATAAAATGAACGTATATATATATATATTTATTTATATCATTTAATTACCATTGACTTGTTGTCGTAGAGCGCGTCCTTCGTCAACTCCATTTTGACGTTGTAAACGAAGTAATTTTGATTCTTGACGATCAAGACGTCGTTTTTCAAGTAATTGTTCATGACGAACAAGATCAGATTTTTCTTCTGTTTGAAATAATGTTGCACGATTTTGATTTTGATGTTCATCTTTCTTTATCCAATGTCCATAGAGAAGAAAAGCTGCTGAATCAATCATTTTACGGTAAGATTTAAATCGATATGGATTTTCTAATAATTCTTTTCCTCGTATAGGTTGTGGTCTATAATGTAATGTTCGTAAACGATGTATTGACCAAATAAGTATAATATGTGCTTTAAGTGTTCTTTTAGCCATAAAATCTCTACGTCTTGTTCGTTCATTATTAAAAAATGGATGTTCAAGTGCTTGTGTAGCTGTATAACGTTCAGATGGTTCAATATCTAATAGACGACGAATTAAATCTTTTGCTGTTTCAGAAACATCATCCCATTCCGAGCCAGCCATTGTATATTGACCATCCATAATCATACGAAACATTAAATGTTGTTTACGATGCCAAAAAGGTGGTAAACCACTAAGTAATGTAAATAATATAACACCACATGCCCATAAATCTACTGGAAGACCATAACCAGGCATATCATCATATTGAGAACATCGAAGTAATTCAGGTGCCATATAACCAGGTGTTCCAAAAAGATCATATAATGATTCATTTTCTGATATTTGTACTGCAAAACCAAGATCAGTTATTTTAACATTCATTGTTGAATCCATTAAAATATTTTCTGGTTTTAAATCTCTATGAACAACATGATGGGAATGTAAATGATTTACTGCATTTAATATACTTGACATTATTTGACGTGTACGTTTTTCTGACAAATGAACAACTTTAGTAAGATAATCAAATAATTCTCCATTTGGACATAATTCCATAACAATAAATACATAATTTGGTGTTTCAAATGATGCGACTATATCGATAATATTTGGATGTCCACCAACTAATTTCAATATTTGAATTTCACGTAACGTTGCTGAACGTTCAAGATCATTATCATCATTAAATTCAATTATTTTACAAGCATATTCTTTTCCTGTTGCTTTTTCTACACATTTACGAACAACTGATGATAAACCTTTTCCAATAACTTCTTTTGGATCATATTTTTGATAAAATTGTCGAGCTTTAAAAATAAAATATAATTTTGAAAATAATTAATTTTCTTTTTTCTAACATACCAGATTCACGATCTGGTAATTCATCATCAATATCAAATGCCATAATACAACTCTTTCTATTTTTTTGAACAAAAACAAAACTATTTGATTGTTTATTAATACATTTTGTGTCTCATTACATATCTAAAAATATTTTATCATCAGTTTTTCTAAACATGAAAACGGATTTTTATATATTTAAAGAAATAAAAGATCGAAATTTCATATTTTCTATTGTCATTTTTATATTTTGATCGCAATATGGTTTTATTTTAGCGAAATGACAAATTATGTTAACAATAAGAAATGTTCGTTTCTATGTTGTTTATTTTAATTTTGTTGTTGATCATTATCATCATCACTAGCATCATCTTCACTGTCAAAAGAATTCTCAGGTATACTGTAGATCTAAAGAAGAAGATTTATGTTTTTTTAATGAATAATTTCTTAAATATAAAAAAAAATGATTTGTCTTACTCGAAGTGTTGGCTAAAAAAAGAAAAATTAAATTAGATTAATGAATATATCATAAATATATTAAGAAGAATGACATAATTAATATCTTTATGAAATAATTAACTATACAAATCAATGTGTGTCACTTTTAAGAGTGTAAACCATATGAATCTCGGTTAATAGACTATAATCTTTTATTACGTATTTAACTTTTTGTGTTATTTATAATTCTCGTAATTAAGTATTTATGTCTATCCTTCAGTAATCTTTGAATTTATATTTTTAACTTGTACTTATTACTATTAAAATTTTCAAATTCAATAGATCTCTTATCAATTAGTAAATATAAATATTAATTAATGTCATTCTTCATTATACACATTGTCTATATATTTACTTTCATTGGATCCTTTGTAATTAAATAACGACCATCGGGTTTACCCATAAACAAATCAACCAATGCTTTAAAAAGAAGAAGTAATTTTTTTAAAATTAGTTTCAATTTAAATCAATAAAAGTAGATTTACCTCGTACAATACCCCAACCATTATCCATATTCAAAGCCATTTGTGTTGCAAATTCTTGTGGTTTAAAATTTTGCATACCAAGTATTGTATGACGAGATGCATCTTTAAAATTTTGACGTGATACATAACCGAATTTCATTTGATCTGAACCAGCCAAAATGGCACATGTTGTCCATTTAGCTAATTTAAATCCATTATTACGTAATTCAGCTGCTAAAACAGCACCTCGTTGCATATCTAATTTCGTTCTCCAATCCAAACCACTGCCAATCTATTGAACAGAAAAATAGTTGAAATAAATTTCATTAAAATTTTTTCGAATACCTTAGGATTCCATTCATTTATTGCTTTGATATTAACAAATTGATCTTCACCATTGGGTCCAGTTTGAACACAATCTTGTTCACAACGAATAACAATAACTTGATTACCACCTAAATCCCATGTACGATAACGATAAGCAACTGATGCTGCTTCACTTTCTTCATCTGGTTGAATAAATGGATTTGGATTTGGAAATTTATAACGTTCTTCATTCTAAAAACAATACAATTTTAAATATATACAAATTTTATTCAACTATATACCATTTTAAGAACTTGTTGTGCAAAATTATGATTGATAAAAACAGCTTCCATTCCAAGATTTTTTGCTGAATCCATTGTACCATCTTCTGGTGGTGGTTCATTAGCAGTTTCATTGACCGTTAACATATCAATTGTTGAATCTTCACGTTTATCAAAAAACAAACGTGAACCTAATTTATCAACAACAATATCCCATGGATAAACAGATCTTGTACAACACATTAATGTTGAAATGATAGCATCGGTAGCAAAAACATTTCCACGTGTTTTACAGATCTGTCGAATAACTGGATCCTTTGTTGTTGTTATTTTATGTATTAAACGATTGACCATAACTAATTTCTTTTCACTCTTTGTTGATATTCGATCATATCGTTTATCATAATATTCAAGTGAACCCCAAACACTCCTAAACAATTAAACATTCGTAGGATTTATATAATGAATATTCTATGCAATTGAGTCTGTAATAGTAAAAATTAATAATCCATATAGACTTACAATTCTTCTGGTTCACCAACATTCGGTGAATTAAGTTTGGCCAAAGCACTAAATGGAATTTCATCAATAACTTGCCAGTCTTCTCGTACACGTACAGATGGTTCACGTTGTTTTGCTTGTTGCTTTACAATGATAAAAATTTAAAGAAATCTATGTTTAAAAATATTTTCTTACATGTTGACGTGGATCAGCTCGATTTCCGTATTGTTTTTGCCATTTACGCATTTGTCGCATTTGATCCCTGTTAATAATTAGAATTTAAAAATAAAAATAAATGTAAAAATTAGAATATTTACATTTCTAAATTTTTCATTGTTTTTGATTTTTTCTGTGTACCAACAAATGCTTTTTGCATTGTAGGAAAACGACCATTTTGCATTTGTTGTGGACGAAAACGCTAATTTAAAGAGAAATAATTCCTAATTATTAATTCAATTAGTTAGTTACATTTTGTTGAAAACGTGTTCGTTTTTGATAAGCTGGCTTAGGTAAACGAGTTGAATCAACAAGTTGAAATGTATTTTCATCATCTTCATGAATATATTGATACATTCCAACACCAACACCATATTGCGAACGATATCGATCTAAGAAAAATCAATTACAGATATACTCTTCCTAGAAAATATTCATTTCTTTTACTGTTATTTCGTTTATCTCCATAGACGGTGCCTGTCCAATCAGCAACCTAAAGTTTATTTTAAAATAAATCAATAATAAAGTATAGTATAAATATTTATATATATCATACTTTGCCTAATTGATCACTCTTTGAATAAGGTTGATAAGGCATATCTTTATATTGAAATGTGTCATCAGTTGGACCCCAACCGTCTTTATTTTCAACAACAAGCG